GACAAAGGGACATCTGACCAGGACAGCCTGAAACTCGGCTGTAACTATCACGGTCCTTCCGGGCAGGTAATAAAACCACGGAAATTCAGGCCACGGAAAATTATACGAAAGCTTGTCGGAAAGAGCAGGAAATAAGTTCAATAAACATCATGTCGGGAAGCCGGGATCACGCGAATACATGGAGACAATTTTGTACATCAACAAACTTCAAGTTTAAACGGACGATAACAACACAAGGTACTGGAAAACACTGACTTTGTCATTGAAATAACTGACAACAATATGTGTGAACATTTAGTAATTCTGTATTAGATAAGATGGAAATTAGCTATACTTACAGATAAATAAATGTTATTTATAATACATAATAAAATTTTGAAAACTTACAAAGTATTTGGATTGAAACTCAACGCCATAACCACCAATAATTTGCGCCAGTTTTACGGTCAGTAAGCATCGATACTTTCACCATTCTGCACAATATGATAATACTCTCATTCGATGTCCTCCCAAGAAAGATCATACTTATCATCTGTTACTTACATAAATACGTTTAGATAAGAATTCAAAATATTTTTTTTTAATTTCCGAATATTAACGTACCGGGGGTACACTGAGGGATTGGGGTGCTTCGGCGTCACCCAGCACATTAAGCGTGTTCCGTCCCGATTATTTCTTTTAAATTTAAAATATTTATGTCAACAATGACAGAATGAACAATATACATCTACCTTATAACTGATAAATGACAAACTTATTTTGTAGCCTAGATAAATGTTTGGACAATATACACATGTACTATTGTTTGTAAGGAGTTTTCAGTAAAAGCTGGTATTATCCTAAATTCCTACCACATATACATGTACATGTCCCCTTTATCCATTACAAAATTATCTACGGGATTTGTCTGAAAATCCTGGTTCGATTCTTGCGTTACGATAAACAAGTCTTCAGGAATCGTACACATATCACTGTTTGACGTTTTAGTTATATGGTTTCGTTTAATTCTCCCTAATTTATGGTATATTTGGTAAAGGCAGTCAGTTGCAAAATGTCAACAAGAAATTTTGAAGTAGTTCTTGTCCTTGTATCGCCGCATCTTAATTTATTTTAGTTTAAGTACACAAGGTAACTCAATCGTATTTAAATAGCTATCGGTGCTAAAACCTAAAATAGTGATTATTATTTACACGTACTGTTGATATATGAAATATAAATAAGACTTGCTCCTCGTCACGTAGAACATGTTAACTTATCAGGAATTTTAGCTTTAGATAAATGTGTTCTAAAGACCAAAAAGCTATCTCACAACCATTTATTTCTATAAATACAACGCGATCATCTTCATACTTTAAAACGCCCACCTGACTCGTCAAGTCATACTTGGCCTGTATATTAGGTTCCAATGAATGGCGCCTGACAACGTTTATGTCAAATATGAAAAAAAAAAAAAAAAACATAATCTTAAAAAGTATGCAAGGCAACATTAACCGTCTTCCGTAAATAAATCCCTCAGTTGAAGTGAACATTAGTGTATAATCTTGCAAGATTTTTAAGTTCATTTAATACGAGGTTTAAAAGTATTTAGAGTAACAGAGAAACCCGGTTAAGTGATGCGGGCCCTTTAGGCCTCTTGCACTATCATAGAAAGTCTCGCTTAATGTTTAAACCTTTGCTCACTTATTTTCCATATCTGGGTCAGGTATGAACGTTCGTATTGACATGACCGACTTAGTAGGTCAAGTTCAGGTCGCCTCATTACATCAGTCCGTCGGTGTTTACAACCGTCCCCATAGCGTTTAATAACAAACAGCTCTCGCTCCTGGACTTTAAAGCCTAACCATTACACTTCGAACCGAGAGGTTTGTCATAACGCTCCCGATATTAATTGCCCAGTGTGACCGAGTGTGTGACAATTACTATTATTCTACTTAGAGCTAGAAAATCAATTCATTACTAATCTCGGAACAGCTGTTTACGTAAAATCTGGATGAAATCGAATGTGAGTGAAAATACCTATGTTATACGTATGTACATGTATAACAGTTGAAATTAGTATCACATAAGAAGCCCTATACTGATTCAATCTTTGCATGTTTTTATTTAGTTTCAAATTCACAGGAAGCTGGGACACGACCCGTCTTATTCTCCTTCGCCCAAATTGTATCCGGTAGCATTCGGCGGGGCTCCTGTACAATGTTCATCGGCATTTAATAATAATAATAATAATAATAATAATAATAATAATAGTATATTTTATTTCATCACCCATGGAATTATAATGACTGTTCACAGCATGATAAATTTAATAAACAAAGAAAACACATTCTTTATTATAAATCCTTTCCAGTATTTTTACTTTTTCTGTAACTTTCCGTGTAGATTGGATCAGTCTAAGAGAGCCAACCTTTTGTTTGTCTATTGCGATCGTTTTGTATGCGCCTCTCGTTCCTTTGAAATTGCTGTGTAAATTCGGTGAACATTGTGTACCTTGGATACAAACACTACAAGCGTAGTCAATATATTAGGAGAGTGAATGTAATCAACTCTGAATAATAAGAGTGACTACAGACACTGTACTTGCATCCATTTACTAGAAATCGACTTTTCGCTAAAATTTTAATAATCATTTTCTCGGAAAAAGAAATTGTGTAAGAAAATTTAGTTAGTGTACCCAGCTCATAAATAGTAGATTTAACATCACAATGTACATGTCCTATCAATTTGTTCTATCTACTGAATGTACACAGCCCATAAATAGTAGATTTAATATCACAATGTACCCGTCCTATCTACTGAGTGTACACAGCCCATAAATAGTAGATTTAATATCACAAAGTACCTGTCCTATCTACTGAGTGTACACAGCCCATAAATAGTAGATTTAATATCACAATGTACCTGTCCTATCAATTTGTTCCATCTACTGAGTGTACACAGCCCATAAATAGTAGATTTAATATCACAATGTACCTGTCCTATCAATTTGTCCCATCTACTGAGTGTACACAGCTCATAAATAGTAGATTTAATATCACAATGTACATATCCTATCTACAGAGTTTACACAGACCATAAAAGTAGATTTAACATCATAATGTACCTGTCCTATCTACTGACTGTACACAGTCCATAAATAGTAGATTTAACATCACAATATTCCTGTCCTATCAATTTGTCCTATCTACCGAGAGTTCACAGTCCATAAATAGTAGATTTAATATCACAATGTACATGTCCTATCAATTTGTCCTATCTACCGAGTGTACACAGCCCATAAATAGTAGATTTAATATCACAAAGTACCTGTCCTATCAATTTGTCCCATCTACTGAGTGTACACAGCCCATAAATAGTAGATTTAACATCAAAATATTCCTGTCCTATCAATTTGTCCTATCTACCGAGTGTACAGTCCATAAATAGTAGATTTAATATCACAAAGTACCTGTCCTATCTACTGAGTGTACACCGTCCATAAATAGTATATTAGTATGTACCTGTACTATCAATTTGTCCTATCTACATAGTGTACACAGTCCATAAATAGTAGATTTAATATCACAATGTACCTGTCCTATCTATGAGTGTATACAGCCCATAAATAGTATATTAGTATGTACCTGTACTATCTATTTGGAGAAGTATTATATCTGCCCTTATAAATGATATATCTAGTAGATGCAGGTGAAACTAACCAGAGATTCAGGTGATATGGTTGATACTGGTCATGTGACTCAGTGATTCACGTCCCGCCTTCCTTTGTCAGAAGTGATAAGTGGTAGTCTCCATTCGCTCCACATTATAGATTAAAATGAGTTTGATTTAATTGTTTCACATTTTGCTGTAAAATAAAACAGTGCTCGTTCGCTTTAATTCTGCAAGAGTTGATAGAAATTGTTGTGCGTGTTTGGTTCTGATGAACCGTTTAATGCCTTCCTTGACAATCTATCCTGTTTAAACCAAATGGAAACATTAACCAAGACAGGGGTGCAGAAAGATGAATCGGATGTGAATCCCGTGTTTGTCATACTACTTCAATATCTAGATTTTTTCATTACTATTGCATATATATGCATGTATCATACAAATACCTTGTCTCTTCTACATAACACATATCCCCTATCTCTTCTCCGTCCTACACACAGTATTTCTTCTCAATCCTACACATACTATATCTTTTTACCATCACACATGTATCACTTCTGCATCTCAACCATATAATTTCTCTTCTGTATTAAAAAAATCTTCTCTTTCCTCAATTATATCTTCCCACTATCAAGCATGCATCTACATCACTGCATGTGCGATCTTATTAATAAAACGTCAGTCGCATACACCTTCATTATGTACGAAAAAGTGGTTTATATAAATGTTAAGTAAGCTATAGCTATAAATAATCACAGGGGCTTACAACAATATAGCAGCGTGTAGAGTATAGACCAGCGCGAGGTGTAATCGATTATTATGATTATTATTCTAAAACACCGATATACCTACATGTCATCTTCGGCAGTGTGACGAGAGCTACATACCTGACATTTCTTAGTACATGCAGTGTTGAATATAAAATATTGGCGACTATCTTACTCGAATGTACTTGTAAGAACGAGTCAATTCTCACCACGTGGTAGGTGTGTCTCACCCCAAGAGTCATCGAAAAACCACGTGCGTCTGTTTTGATTTCGAACCATCCCATGCGACAAGGTGATGTTATACGACCAATCAAAACGTAGCATTACTAGCCGACCTTGACTACCATTCGACTGTTCTGCTTGGGGACAATAGGTAAGTGTATAGATTTTAAAACAATATTATTAATGTTTCAAATTTTGTACTGCCAGTTTCAAATATTTCATGGCATTTTACTGTGATACTAACTATAAAAATGTGTTTCAAACTTAAATTTGATTTAATATTAGTTGTGTGTAATGAACCTGTTCTACCTAGAGATGGTATTGCCTAAACAGGAAGTGTAATGCTTTACATACATATTAATCAGTACGGTACAGTCATAGCCGGCGAGTTGAGCCGTGGTCTTACTGAAGATACATCAAAACATTACTAAACCACAGTTATTCGGACTTACTCAACAAAATGGACAACCGAAGTTTAATCCTGAACAATAGCGTTGTCAACCAAGACTCGCTTATGTCGGCGCTGAACAAATTTGTGCATGCTGTAGATTCGATGGACGATACAGTTATGATTCCAAATCGACTAAAAGATATGGAAGTTACTGCCTCAAATATACCTGTGGTAGCCGAGGAGAACAACAACAAGGCACTATTACCAACTGTGAAACAAGGCACAGACTTGTATAGTTTTTATTCTCTACTCAAAACAGTTAAAACGGACTTGACAGTGGGAACACATGGAGTGCATTCAGCTGTGTTCAGCGACCCAGAAGAGGCCATCGAGGGGGAAATCGAAAATAATCATGCAGATGAATCGGCAAAAAAAACTGCTGCAGCTTTCCGACATCATTTGTCAGGTATCTTTAGATTATTACATCAAATGACAGACACTGCCAACTATCTAACAAATCGGTATGAATCTGAAGTGGGTGGAAAATCAGCACAAAACCCCTCCTTTGCACCCTTTGCAATATGACCGTGAAGACAACACCCCAAAAAATCCTTGACGACCCGGAGAATGTGTGAAAAAATTCCTCGGAATGTATTATACTGACAGTTATTTATCAGAGCGTATCACTATGGTAGTAAACTTTATAAAGAAACCAGTGATTTTCGCGACTCTTTGAATTCCCACCGGAACATGGTGAACTGTAGATTCTAGATAATACATTGTCAGCATCTCCTCGCCTCGGGCCTTTTGGAACTGGTAAAATGTCAATGTGGCTCAATGTGATGTGATCATGTTCTCTCGTGTCTTCGTTCAGAAGCGATGGACGACTTTTTATATTTTTCTTTAAATTGACAATGTTCACAGGTTTGCTCAAAAATAAGCCATGCTAATATATTTCTCCTATTTCCTGTGCTATTAACCGTGCCACCTCGATCTCTGTTTTGCAATATGTAATGTTATTTTTTTTATGGTGCCATATAATGGTAAGCGAACGTATAAAGAAGAATCTGTAGGGATAATTACCAGAATCATTTAACCATGACGGATCATCGAATCGGCTGTAGCTAGGACTTGTTTACTGTTTACAAGGAGCTTGTTGCCAAAATAAGACTTGTATATGATTTGAAATGAATGTGGAGTGAGTGAGCATGTTTGTTATACGGATATTTAATACGAGCGTGAATGTTTATTTATATGTTAATGAGGGTTTCGAAGACTGAATTAGCAAACTTCATGATTCACATACCGATTTATGGTAATTTCATATAAAATTAAATATAAATTTTATATCGTTGCCATTTTCTTAATTATTAGAAAGTAGAAATCAAATTTCTAGGAGTTAATTGGGGAAGCTTTGCTTCTGTATTTGAGCGTGAGGAAACATAAAATTCGCAACATGTGATTGAGATATTTATATTTACACTGTATAATGACGTAAAACTGACCCAAATTGGCCAAAATGCCCTGTTTCCAACATATAACCTTTTCCATAATAGTTTTGTCTTTGAGCAGCTGCGTGATACGATGTAGGTATAATTTATTTACTTATAAAATTGAGTTGTGTTCATATTTTACGTGATGATGTGATAAGGGTACATGTTTTATTAAAAAGAATAAATGTTTGAGAGCGACTTTATATGTTAGTATACACATTTAGTTAGTTCTCAACTTCGCCTTATAAATGAAAATATTTATGTCTACATTAAAATATTAAAACTAATATCATGGTGGATTTGTATGTTGTCTCCACGGCCTGGAAATATGGTCTGATGTTTTGGAGTGGTTGGTGTGACCACAGGTAAATAAGCGGTTCATTCTACAGGATCGGTATACACTCCATGACACCCCGGAGTCGTAGGTGCTATCTCGGCCACCTCTGTACGAATCTGTACGTGTCCCAAACCTATACGTAGCAACATCTGTGTGATGAAGTGCCGATTTCATCAGGGTTTCTTTTGTTGCCGATTTCATCACGTGGTGATTAAGATATAGGTCAGATTGTTGAGGAAACAGTCATATATTTTCACCTTGCTCTGATCACAGAGGCTAGCAACGATATATGCACGAAAATAGTAATAAAAATGGGTTTTATGCTAGTTTACAGCTGGTGGTTGTGGGGTTACATCTATTCCTATGTACGAATTTCTAGAAGCAACATCTGCCGATTTCATCAGGTTTTCCTGGCAATGGATGAGATATACGCCAAATTGTTGAAAAAGCTGAGTATCAATATTGCTTTTGGTGGTGGATATGAAGTTGTTACTATATAAATTTATAAACGCATGTAAGAGGATGGACGTGAAACCAGTTAAAAAGAATAAATAAGATGGAGGGAACCACGTAGTGTTCCAAAACAATGACTAAGATTTTCTGAGAAAAGACTCGGCTATTGTGGTTCTGGTGTATTTTCCAGTTGTCTGATCTACTTTCGAAACTATATCCAGATGACAGGAAAATTCTGAGAAATGACTTCAGCTGAACTGCGTATCGCAGCTACAGACTGCATCAAATTCCGAAAAACCCAAGCAGGACCAGAACGTGCCAAATCCGTTGACTTGAATTTGGCTTTATATCGCAAAACAGGATATTACGTCATGTGAAAAGTACATGTTACATCGGATATAACTAGAGTACTGATATTTTGACGGTTTATCAGAAATACTTGACCCACTCTTTATCCTGACGTCAAATCTACAACGATAGGTCATCAGTTCGTTAGTAAACGGAAAAGTCCATGGTTATCGAGATACTATTGGGGATTTTTTTTTGGTCTTAAAACAAGAACACAGGAACTTGATACGAATTCCATGTGAAAACCGTTGTAGCATTGTCGTTAGTCATATGGCCTTGAATCCATAAATGTGTACACCTGTCACAAAGTGCTTAGCCCGAGTCAAGCTTAAGGTTTTTTTTTTATAAAATGGACTACTTTATAAATGTCTTAATGTATCAAATTTCACTATAATATTTATGAAATTGAAACATACAGACTGTTCTGTAGATCTGCTTTCAACAAATTTTATTCATGGGTCCAATCGTGTCGTAAAGTTAATTTCATAATTATGTGCGATCATTCTATCGGAAATTACCGAGTAGTTTCCAATACGCTATCCTAATCATGATCAAAGAATAATATTAGCTTATAGTAATATCACACAACATCGAATTAAAACATAGTTACCGGTATCTGTTTAGAAAGGTAAAAATAGACAAACTGTCATTACTAAACATAGACTACCTACCAGATATCGGGACATCTACTTCAGCCGCTATCAGAACGATTTTTATCAAAGCTTGACAATATCAAACCAGTGGTTCGTGAAATTTTAACAAATATGAATGAAACCTAATTTAGAATATTCTCTGGCGTCATTCCACGGCTATATATTTGATGAGACGGGTTATATTGATTTATTTTGAGTGTCGTTTTCGCTTTCAAAGTCCTTTTTTATTTCAGCGACTGAAATATGTTTTCCCAGTAACCACTGTTTGCTGTAAATCTAACGAACCTTGGAGCAACTGGACCGGAAGGTCTTGTTTCAAAGGTTATGTTCCCATTGTCTTATGAATTTGACGTCACGTAATTGAACCGAACAGTTGTGGTTAGTATCCAAGGACTACAAGAAAATGTCAATATGTCTACTGTTTGTCAGTCTAGAGGGTTGGAGTACTTTGAACGTACATCAGTATTGAAATTCGACCCACTCTCTCTGGCCCGGCTAACAAACAGGTATCAACATGTAGACGGATGCTTGTTTCATTGGAACTGACATTTTCCTTTATTGACTTGATTTCAAACAAAGCACAGGGATTTGTTACGAATTCCGAACCCTGATGACTTACGCCGTGTAATACATAATTCTATCTATGGACCGAAAAGTGAGGAATTGTGCCATGTCCCTGTGTCAACCGACGCAATCATTCAAAATCACAATAGCCAAAGATTTTAAGTCAACTATAATACACGTTTTCACTGCAGGAGATGTTTGGGAAATTTATTAATAATTAATTTCAACAATTAATCTACTTTATATGACTGGAAATTTTATACAAGATCCCCCTATTTTCGAAATCCATGAACATACATGTATATATGTTGTACGCAAAATATATCTGATTTCACTTTGATAAGTGGTCAGGCAAGTGGTAGGTGTCTCTTTGTTATGATAGAAATTCCGGATATATCTACGTATGACAGTACGTTTATGATATGACAAGTGTGTAATAATGAATTATCTTTATACATGACGAAATTACTGAAACTCCGAATAACGAAAGATCCATAATGTGTCTCCATCCTTCAAAACGAGAAAAATTATCGTTGATAAAAATGCCTTTCGTTGTAGAAATAAAAAGTTGTGTCAAAGTTTTTTAATGAAATTGTATATTTCCTCTGTTGTAGGTTTAATTAATTTCAACATTTTTTCCTCCGAGATATTTCGTCATAGACATGCCTTTTTCTTAATAATGAGCAATTTATAATATACCGAGTTCGTTTTCTTCCGGCTTGCTGATCTTAATGATGTATCATACTACTGTGGATAGGTCAGAGCTGGTGAGGTATATATGTATTTATGTATCTGCCATGTCTTACCTAAGTATATGTAAGTATGCGTGATCTGCTAAATCGATAGATACCGAAAGTAGGGGGATGTGCTGGGGGTAGAAAGGGGTGTATAAAATGATGAGTCACTACCATAGCAATAAACAGAGCACGTGTATCTTCATGGCCTAGACTAATCAAATGTCTCTCCCTATATAACCTTGATGACAGACCAGATTGATAACATTTCTCTCCCTATAACCCTGACGACAGACCAGATAAGTCACATGGCTCTCCCTATAACCCTGACGACAGACCAGATAAGTCACATGACTCTCCCTATAACCCTGACGACAGACCAGGTTAGTCACATGTCTCTCCGTATAACCCTGATGACAGACCAGGTTAGTCACATGTCTCTCCGTATAACCGTGACGACAGACCAGGTTAGTCACATGGCTCTCCCTATAACCATGACGACAGACAAGGTTAGTCACATGTCTCTTCGTATAACCCTGTCTCTCTCTATAACCGTGACAGCAGGCCAGACTAGTCCTATCTCTTCGTAAAACCCCGATAAATGACCAGTCTAATCGTATATCTCCCTATAACCTTCACAACATACCACACTAGTCACATGTCTGTCTCAATAAACTGCAGACCAGTCTACTCACGTGTCTCTCCCTATAACCTTGACGACAGACCAGTCTAGTCATGCGTCTATCTCTACAATCCATACAACCGACCAGTTTAGTCGCATGTTTCTACTTACTATGTTACCCTGAAAGCACATCAGACGAGTCACGTGCCCCTCCCTATAACCTTGACAACTGTCGAGTCTAGTCACTTATCTCTCCCTTTAACCTTCAGAATATACCAGACGAGTCACGCGCCCCTCCCTTTAACCCTGACAACTGTCCAGTCTAGTCACTTATCTCTCCCTATAACCTTCAGAATAAACCAGACGAGTCACGCGCCCCTCCCTTTAAGCCTAACAAAAGTCCAAACTAGTCACATAACTCTTCCTACAACCTTGACACCAGATCAGACTAGTCACGTGTCTCCTTGTAACCCTGGCAACACTCAAGACTAGTCGACTGACTCTCCCTACAACCTTGACACCGGACCAGACTAGTCAAGTGTCTCCCTGTAACCCTGGCAACACTCAAGACTAGTCACATAACACTTCCTACAACCTTGACACCAGACCAGACTAGTCACGTGTCTCCTGGTAACCCTGACAACAGTCCAGACTAGTCTTTGATGACAGACCAGTCTTGTCACCTGTCCCTTCGACACCAGACCAGAATAGTCGCGTATTTCTACAAATAAGCGTGACAACATACTAGACTAGTCAATTGTCTCTTTCAATTACAAGACAAAGTAAATATCGTTTGTATTTTCCCTTATGTCATTCTTACAACAATCAGACTGGATACATCGGTCTCAATCTCGGTAATCTTACGCCACAAAATTTTCTGACATATTTTTTTTTTAAATCAAAACAACAGGTGCATATTGAAACGTGTCAGATCTGGATAAGTCTAGGCCCATGACCTATTAGTTCTTAGCCTCACACTCTTTCAAATTTGACGATAGATTTGTACATGTGTGTATATCAAAAGAGTAACCCTTAGATTCTGGAATTGACCTCATCCAGTAAAATGACGGTCGCTATTTGCAATCACAGAATACTTATTTCGCCTCTGAGTCATTGTTGAACGAGATCTTGTCACTAACGCTGACTTAGTGTTTGACAATTAGTAACTATCCTTAGGTCTTATTGAAGCTCGGAGTGCAAATTATTCATAGTCACGCTGCTAATACATTCAATAATACTACACATGTTTATTTTTTTAAATATGGAATTTATCTCCGTTTCCAAATGTTTCTTCTTTTTTTCTTTAACAATCAAATGTCTTCGTTTTTATCCCTTACCGACCATGATAACACCCTTTAAGCTGTCAGGTCAGAAATATCTTTTCTATTTACACCTATACATTTCATTTAACAAAAATGACGAAATGATGTAATTAATTTTGTTAACAATAATCGCTGTTTCGAGCGTGTACTTAAGCATACATTATTGCTACGCCGCTGATGGCTACAATTTGAGAAGGCCTGGTGTTAGTTTCTAGATTATTTCCATACTTTTTTATCATGTATTGGTTGGAAAT